GACGGTTGTCCTTTTGATTGGATATTTGTCCAAATACTATAAAGTTCACGGTGATATATAAATCTAACGTTTCGACAAAATATATATATATATATATCATGTTTGAACAGGATATTATTTAGAATAATTATCATAATACTTTTTGTGATGTGGTATATGTAAAATAAAAAATAATAAAAAATATAAAAATATGAATTAAAAAATATATTTATGATACAAGCGAAATATTATTTAAAAAATTTTGCTATCCAAACACTCTTGCATCATACTTGACACTCTATAAAAAAACAGTGAAAAACTACTCCAATAATATTTTGGAAAGTAAATACGAACAAAATGTATTTTGTTATTCTTTTTTTTTTATAAGTACATTCGGGTAAAAATAACTCGTATGCTTTGTCAAGTTTAGGAAGATATCATGCAGCTCTCTAGAAGCTACATTGCCCTGAATAAGATGCACTTTTTCACCATCTTGATTTTTTTGCAATATGATTTTCCTTTTTGATGTAGTTTCAAAATTATAGCTGCACACTATAACTATAAGAGGATAGGCCTTGGTTAAAGTTGGGTTGATGAAACTTGGGCCAGATCATGACACTTGGGTTAAAAGTTGTTGCATTCGTCGTACAACGGCGTTTCTGATTTGGTAACCAAATTATAAGTCCCTTTCAATTTGGGCCTCAAAAAACTCCCTTCGTTCGGGTCCAGAAGAATAGGGAATGGGGAGCATTGCAGTTGAAGCGGTGGATATAATCTGGCCCGTGAAGAAAAGGTCGGTTCACGAAACACCAATTAAAAATTAAAAATTTAGGTAGCCTTTAGAATTTTATTCTCATTGCAATCAAGTCCATGACTTGATTGCAATGGACTTGATTGCAATGAGAAAGTTTCTAAAGCCTTTGGGCCTTTAGAAAAGGCGGGTGTCAAAAATTTTATTCTGAAGAAAAGGTAGCCTTTAGGCATTTACAGCAGCAAAGAAGAAAAAACTTCTGCCAAAACAAACAGAATAAAAGCTTGTAATTACGCACTCGTGTAATCGAAAATACTCAACTTATTCCTGCCGCGGATTACATCAATGAAAATGAAGCTCTTATTTGTATTCCACGCTGAAAAGTAAAAGTTCCCAGTACCACAATTGGTGAGCCTGTTGAAGCAATCCACTTAGGGTATGTTTGGTTTCCCATGGAATTGAGATTTAGAATTGGAATTGGGGCCCCAATTCCAAATCTGTTGTTTGGATACTGCTTCGGTCAAAGAATTAGAATTGAATCTGAATTCTATAGGGGTCCAATTCCATGATTTGAATTCTTTATTGGACCAAAAGAATTCTAATTCCAATTCCACAACTAAACCCTGTGAAACGGGTCTACACGCGGATCTTGTGGGTAAAAAATTAAAATCGGGTCAACTAGGTAAGCAGCCCTCTCTCTCGATCACTTTTCCTCAACCACAACTGCTTCTGCTCTGCGTCATCGCCTTCACCTCCACCCTAACATTTTGCCTCTTCCACCACCGTCTCCGGCATCGCTTTTTGCTTCTCCGGCTATCCCTTACCAATCGCAAGATTGCTCCGAGTAAGTTGAGCTAATTCTTCCAGGATTCAGATAGTCACTTTAAGCAGTAGCCATTATTTGCAAATGTTTAAAAGATTAAAAGCATGACGTTTTTAACTGAAATTCACCCTATACGAAGTTGAGTGTTAAGAAGGAAAGAGGGATAATCTGATCATCCTTTGAATCTTCTATGTGATGCAAGTCTTTCATCCTTGAAATAGTTATAGATGTTTGCAAGGTAGTGAAAAATGCAGGCTGATTTGGTAACTTGGCTCGAGTTATACTTTTGCTGGCCAAATCGTCAGTGTTTCACATTAGAGTGGTTGTGATGATTTTCTTTGTTGTTTTGAGGAGAAATTTCACAATTTTTATTCCAGTAATTGAATGGTTTCCAACTGATTTGACCTTGATTTATGGAAGTAAAGATGAGAGTCTAATAAGATCCAGTAATATGATAAATACTACCATGACAACAAAGATTCGGATTTGCAGGTTTTAGATGATATTTTTGCCTCACGGATGCAACAATTGCTCGGGAATGCACTACAACAAAAAGACGTGGAACCCCATATGAAAAATGATTTTCAGGGGATTTTTTTAAAGTTATAAAATATTTTAATCGATTTGGACATAAAAATTTTGGGTGTGAAATGATAGAATTAGAATGAAATCTGGAGGAATTTGAGATCTCAAAGCCATGCTCCTAAGATTGATACGTACTAGGTTGTTGCCTAAAGAAGGAAACTTAGGACCAAGAGGATTGTTACTGATATCTAGCTCTTCAAGCTGTGATAGGCCTTTCAGATCGGGAATACTTCCATTTAACAGATTATAAGCCAAAACAAGACTTTTCAGATTCTTGAATGTGGCAATCTCTAGGGGGATGCCACCCTGAATGAAGTTGGAACTAATGTTTAGCACCTTCCACTTCTTAAACTCAGTAGAGGCTAACATAAATGAACTCCCATTTTGTTGCGACCTTCTTTTATCTTTTGTTTAGCTTCTAATTTGGGGTTTTTGAATAATATGATTCAATTTGAGAATTTTATTGACTTTTCCGGTAAGCATGTATATTTTGGATTGGGGAAACTCGTCAATTTGATACCATCTTCTTCATGTTTCTAGTGGTATGAGTTGGGATTGAATTGACGTGTTTATCTGTATGAGCTGTTAGTTATATTGATAATTGATATTTTAACCTTTCTAGTCAAGTTGTGCATTTCTTAATGATTGAAGGCCTGCTTTCGTTTCTGCTTCCTCTCACTAATTTGTTGTGTGATGACTGGAGTGGGTTTGAATTCAGTTAGTTAAATCGAGTCCAAGTTTATCAACTATATCAAAGTAAGCCGGGCAAGTAAGACGAGAATAGTAGTGAAGCACCTTTCTTGCCTTTATTTCTGTGTTATCCACAATAATCTGCACTGTCGCTCTAGTATGTTTTTCACTGCATTCCACATCTTCCACCATTGGTACTCTTGGTGATAGTGTACTTATGTCCAGAGTACCCCATTGATCAGAGAGCACTCTGCAGAAATCATCTAATTCCTGCATCTTCGGACAGCTATTGCTGCTAGAGAAAAAGGGATTGACAAAAGGGGCTTTAGGCAGCTTTTGATACCTTCCAAAGAGATGTCAGATGCTCTTCTCTGTCTATTATCCCACTGAATAGCTGTTTTTTATACATTGTATGGAGAAAAAAATTATGTTCCATGGTCAATATCTTGATTTTATATGGGCTACTTGTCAATAAGTTGCAATTTCAACTTCTGTCCATCCTAAGGATCTTATAATTCCATATGGCCATCGCGTTACTCTTGTCTATATGTTTCAGCTTCAACTTCTATCCAACGGTTTCAGATTGCTCAAAGTAGGTGGATCTCTTGTGTACAGCACTTGCAGGTGCATATTCCCGTATTTCTCAGTAAATTACAATGCCTTGTATCTTGTGTCTGGGTAAAGATGTACAACTAATTAGTATACTTTTTCGTTTTATGATGGAACAGTTTAACTGTTCCCAGAATGAAGGTGTGGTCGAGAAATTCCTTTCTCAAAACAAATCTGCTGGTAAGCCTTCTAGTGCAGTTTTTGATGCTCTTGCTTAACATATTATTCTGGCTTGAGAAAGTGTTAGTACTCTGGTCAATGAAAATTTGAAGCGCTTATTCTTCTTGTTATAGCTTTAGTATATCTGCTAGTAGTTGGTTCATGTGTTGTTATATTACTGAACGACCAGATTAGATTCTTTAACTTCTGTATGTGATAAAGATAATCAAATCAAGTTAATCCATTACAGAGTTTGTAGAAATGATAGAAATTGATGGGACAATGTTGATTGTTGGAGGTGCTAGTTGTAGAGTTTTAAAATGGGTGCCAGACTTTTCATTTTTCTTGTCAAACTGAGGTGTGAATCTTGAGTTATGGCATCATCCGAATTCTAGACTAGAAGCCGAGTATCCAGAAGCTGGTTTAGTTACTGTGAATCACTTGGGTCTCATTTTAATCACCATTGTGACATCTAATTATGCCCTTGGTTTTACAGGCTTGCTGGAGATAGATTGTGCAAGAACGTGGCCTTGTAAGAACGGGCAGATACCTAAAACTTTGCGCTTTGATCCTAATACATCATGTACGAGTTTTCCAATAGCTAATTTGGTCTTTTGAATTAATAGCTAGTTTGGCATGATTTGGTCTTTTGACTTACCTTTTCTTATTGTTGTCATGATTTTGAATTGCAGAATTTGGATATTGACATGGATAAAGAAGGAGACGTGCAAAAAGCAAAAAAGAGAAAAGTGGTAGTTGCAAATTATATGGTAACAATAGCTACATTAGTAGTTTGGTGGCATGAGAAACATATAGTAAAGGAGCCTTACTTGGACTTTAAAGTAGCACGTGAAATATATCTAAGGCGTCTTTACTATGGAAACAATAGAGTTTGTGTAGAACAACTTAGACTCAATAAACATTGTTTTACTGTTTTATGTACAAATTTAAGAGAGCATTGTGGGTTGACGGATACTAGAAATATTACTGTTGAAGAGGCAGTTGCAATGTTTCTCTATGTTCTTGCTCATAATTTTAAGAATCGCACTGTCAATTTTAATTTCATAAGATCAGGTGAGACAGTTAGTCGATACTTTAATATAGTTCTACGTGCTATCATAAAATTGGGGAGACACTATCTTATCCAGCCTGAATCGGAAATGGAAGGTTACGAACATGAAAAGTGGGAATGGTTTCAGGTAATCAATATTTTTTGATATTTATTAATGAAGATAATATTTACAAGATTCATCAACTTATGATATTTTGTTTATAATACAGGATTGTCTTGGAGCGTTAGACGGTACTTATGTTAAAGTACATGTTCTTCTTAGAGATCAAGGAAGATATAGGAATAGGAAGAATGAGATAGTAACAAATGTTTTAGGTGTATGCTCCCGTGACATGAGATTTACATATGTATTGCCTGGATGGGAAGGTTCTGCAGCAGATGGTAGAGTTCTACGGGATGCGTTAGTTAGATCAGATCCATTAATTGTTCCCAAGAGTATGTGACAATTAGATATCAAGTGTTTTTTTTTCTTTTAACTATAAATGAGTAATAATTTGTTGTCTAACATTACAGGCAAGTACTTTCTTGTTGATGCGGGTTATGCAAATAGCTCCGGTTTCTTAGCTCCATATAGGGGAGTTAGATATCATCTTAGCGAGTGGTCTGCTAGTGGGAGCAAGCCTCAAAATTTTAAAGAGTTATTCAACCTTCGACATTCAATTGCTCGAAATGTGATTGAAAGGACATTTGGTTTGTTCAAGAAGCGGTGGACCATTTTGAGAGATGCATCTTTTTTTGATGTTAAGACTCATGTCATGATAATTAATGCATGTGCCATCCTTCATAACCTTATTCGAGTAGAACAACCAAATGACCCTTACTTGGATGAAGTTGATGCTGAGATGCGAAGAGTACAACATGAGGTTGATGATGAAGATGAAATGGAAGATGAAGATGAAGATGAGGAAAATGGAATGGAAGATGATGGTCCAAATAATGATGGTGGTGTAAATGCTGTTAACGAGAATCGAATTCGAACAGTACAACCAACTAGTAAGTGGACACAATTTAGGAATGCTTTAGCACGAGCAATGTTTATTGACTATCAAATTAGACAAGGCCATCATGGAAGTTGAAATTTGACAGGAATTTATTCGAACTTAATTTCATATTAGAATGGCCATTTATTGAAAAATAGTAGCAATGTATAATTGTGCTTTTCTTTCTCTTTTTTTTTTGGCTAAAAACACTTTGTTTGCGTATTCCTCTATTTCTTGTATTCCTATATTGAAATTTCTTGTAAGAAACAAAACTCAAATATTTATAATAGGTACAAGTTATGACTTTCCTCCCAATTCATATCATAGAGTAGGCTTTTGATTTTCTAAAATTTAAAGTTCTTAACTTTAAAAACGTATCAAGGTTTTAACTCGATAAATATTAACTACTTTTTAAGTTAGAATATACAATTATTTTTTATTTAATATAATTTAATTTTTTTTAAAAAAAGAATTTTTTATTTTTGCAAAAAAAGAACTAATTTTTTTTTCTTTTAAAGCTTTATTAACAATTAGTTAAATGCAAGAAAAAATAAATTATTAAAGGTACTAATTGGTTTTTTCCTTAAAGCTTTAGTAACAATTAGCTAAATGTTAAAAAATTATTATATAGTAAAAAAAAAATTTTTTTATGTAAGAAAATATTAGTTGGAAACAATTCTAATTCCTAATGAATTCTTCTCTCATATAAACAAAGAATTTAGAATTTCAAATAAATTCCGTATCAATTCTATGCATTTCCCAAACGAAAGAATTGAAATGATTTGGAATTCCAATTCATAGAATTCCAATTCTATAGAATTTCAATTCTAATTCAATTCTAATTCTGTAGAACCAAACGTAGCCTTAGTAAATTTCAGAGGCTCGTAAATCAAATCAGCAGCATCTACAATTTCTGCTGAAAGGCAATCGGCCGCAACACTTGCAACCTTGGAAATAATATCCAACGCCACCGCCACCACGGCCACCGCTGGTTCCACCATGGCCTCCTCCTGTCCTCCATCAGGGTACACCACTGCGTATCCACCTTCAGCTCCAAGGTTCTTGGCTTCTTCTTCTACAGCAGCCGCACCTCGGGTGACCATTATAATTACAGCCAAGGACAAGCAGAAGAAAACTAGTGTTTTTGAAATGGAGCCCATCTTCTTCTTTTCCTCCTCCTTTTTCCAGAGAATTTTATGTGATGAAAAAGCTGAAATTTAGAAGGATGAGGAGGAGGTGGGATGAGGAAGAAATAAACGTACGCGTGCTTATAAATTCAAATTGTGGGGGTCCTGGTCCAGCCCCCACAGTGTTGAAAATTCTACGGCCTTGGCAGAGAGGATTTTACGTAGCAAAAACAAATTTCTCTTCTTCACCAATGTGATGAGGACATTTCCAAGATTTTGCGTGGAGATATTTGATCATAGCACGTAGCTGGACCTCTTTTTTGCTTTCTTTTCCCAACCCAGGAAGCAGCCTACTACTGTTTCCTGCGGATATGGTGCCAGGGATTATAACTGGCAACAGGAGTAGCTATATCTATATTCGGGAGTGAGTGAAGGAATTAGGTCAACAAGACCATTAATTACATCAGCTAAAACTCAAGTTTCTCGCATGGCATGGCAGGCACGATCAGCCATTTCTTCAATTATGTTAAAAGTACTCCCCAAAGCTCTAATCAGGAAACAAGCCTCTTCAAAAAGTATTAGGGAGAAAACCTTTGCAAAGCCGCCAAAGAGATCTAATAATATGTGTGTAGAAAATTAATCCTGACCTAAAACTTTAAATTAGTATGTCTCGAGTTTTTACCTATGTATTAAATATTTTTTTTGGTTCTTGTTTTAGACTAGAGTGGGATGAGTAATGTATCTAAAAATCTAATAAAGGTAAACTATCTCGAAAATTTTAAACTATTTTAATTTTTAATTTAGGACACGATATCTATTTCAAATCTCATATTGATATCTCAGCCAGAAAAAAAAAATCAATATTTGATCCCTCAGTCTATTTCTATTAAAGCTAGCGAATCTAATGGTAAAGATGGATCAATTGATCAAAAATCTGATTTTTTTTTTTTTTTATAATTGAGAGGCCAAATTAAAATTTTCAATCGATAAAGTGTCGAAAGTTGATGATTGACCTCTGTCATCTCATGAATAGACTCTCCTATGGAATCCAAGTCCCTCCGTGAACGTCGCGTGACGCAAAGTGATACCACTTGTCAATTACCGCATGGATTGGATACCTCTTCGTCAATTCCAACCGTTTTCATGGTCTAACGCCGCAAAAAGAAAAAACCGACTGTGTTGTCTTAAGTCTTAACCTCGTAGCCAATTGTTTGGAAGTCACTGGTTAGGGTGAATACCCCCTATAGAAGCCCAATCCTTCCAATCCAAGCTTTGGTTCTCTTTGCCTTTGGTTTCAGAGATCCCACTATATTTCTGTCTTCCTTTCTTTCTGGCTCATCAAATATTTGCATGCCTTTCTGATGTTATTAACCCAGTTATGATGAAATAACAGATCAGCATACCAGATTGAATTAATCCAGTTAGCTGCACGGCTGGTTGCACTTGCACCTGCAACTGCGAAGTTGCCCTCAATCCTAGCTCTCGGAATCAGGAACAGGAGGAGTAGACTACAAGGAGGGGAGGGGAAACTGGAAAGAGAAAAAGGTTAAAAGAAATGCTAGAAAATTTCGAGGAGCCAGAGCAGGAAGGAGATAGGACAAAAAATGTAAAGGGCAAAAGGTTCTCTCAGCTCATCTCATCTCTTCTCGTCAAGGGGTCAACATTCTACATGATTAGACTTCAGCAAGAATCACATCACCATTGCCCACAAACAAAAACTCGATCATGTGACGGGACCCTCGACTTCTTCATAGATTACTAGGATTTTGGTCCACAACCATGATTTTACAGATCTTTGATCGTATCTGGACATTCTCCTTTTGGTCGTCATCGCCACCCAGTTGGGCTCTGGGCTCTCCCTCTCTCTCTCTCTCTGCAATGTGTACGCACAGTGCAAACTGCAAAAATGTTTTCCTGATCAAAGTCTTTCTTCTTAGCCTAAATAGGCTTTTCCACTGCTACTTTATATCATTGGATCGCAGTTCACTTTGCCATGCCAAAAGGTCTCCCCTGCAAGGTGCCCTTCTTTCGTCATGTCTCCATCACAAAATGCCATCCAGGAGAAAGTATTTTGTTACACCGTCACCAGATGAACAAGCATGAGGGTCTGGCATTATGCCAAGCAATATCGAACATAATGCACCTTTTTTTTAATAAACTGGTGGTACCTCTAAATATGGAAACCAAAACAACATCGTGAAAGGCAAAAGGACGACGGCCTAGCAGTATTCACACAATCAATGAAGAAAAATCTCAGCTAGGCAGAGCAATTCGAGAAATTCCGTTAGAAATTCTTTAGTTTTGTCAAAACATTTGGAAATTCAAAGGCGTGGATACATTAACATGTATTATAAATGAAGAATTTGTTATCTTCTTAATTAAACCTGAAGAAAAATCATTTATTTAAAGTGCTTCTTGTAGGTTGTTAAGCAAAACAAGGGATTGCTTGTTCACTCGAAAGAGAACACTTGGAACTAAAAATCAAATGGTGCATCTTATGCTTTTGGGGAGGATCTATAAGCTGTATAATTGATAGGAAAACAAAACCAACTTTGTGGAATGTGGATAACCACAAATGACTTGTGAATTGCCATGTATGATCACATCTTGTATCCATGGCAGCAGGCATTAGCAATGATCAGAAGTCGATGTGTGGGACTCCTCTTGCACATATTTCCGTTTAAAAGCTGATCATTGATCATTCTTCGCAGTAGAGTCAATAAAAGCTGCTTTGGTAATTAGTAGTATTGACATATCTTTTGTTCGCTTTTTCACAATTTTTCTTTCAGGCCTTTGAGGAGCCTGGCCAAACGATGTGGTTTGATAGAATCATGTGGTTCTTCTTGTATCCCAAAGTTTAAACCCAATATGGAAATTTCAGTTTAGGTTTTGAACTTTACTAATGTGGCTTTACTTAATTGCAAGCATGAATTAGAATTGATAAGTATAACTGGATAAGCCATAATTAATGGGTGTTCAACATGGCATAATGGTTATCCATAAAGAGAACTAAGAGCGTGGTAAAATGAGCACGAGTTTCACTTAGTTCATCAATTCTTTATGCTAATCATTCTACCACAACCGCTTTCTATCGTATGACAGAAATTTAACCTGTACAGGCTCCAAATCCCATTATCTAATCAAGAGCCTGTTTGGAGTTGCGGTGATAGTGTTTTTATTGAAAAATACTTCATCAATAGAGATTTTAATAAAAACACTTATTAAGTGTTTAATAAGTGACTTCTAGTATATTGTTTAGATATATAGTTCAATAAGTAATTATGTATAATTTAAAATTTTTTAAATATATTTATCTCTTATTTAGTTCATATATAATATAGAATAAAATAATCAAATTTAATATTTTATTTTTTAAAACACCAAAGCTATTATAAAAGCACCATATTTGAACTTTTGCTAACAACGTTTTTAAAACCAAAAACTCTATTCATAATTTTATGGAATGGTGTTCATCAAACGCCTCAAATGTACTTTTAACACCCAAAAGTGTTTTTTTTTTTTTTTATTTTATCAAAAGCACTACAATTTCAAAACGGGGCCTAGGTTTCCAACGTCTGTGACTAGAGCATCTTACTTGTCAAGTTCTTGCAGTGTCCTATTAAATGAAAATTGATATGCACTAGCATTAAGCAATTACAAGGCATTTCCATGAGGATCTAAAGAAAATTAGTCAATATCATAATTTTTTTTTTAAAAAAAAAATCTCATTTAAGTAAACTGACCTCAAAGAGTAGGTCTATTCTTGATGCTCAATGTTTCTCATTTCAACCTTAAGATCCAAAAACTGATCATGGCACAGTAGCTCGCTGATAGGAAAAGTAAAAGCCAAATCCAATATACGTGCAGTTGGAGGCCAAAAGTTAAACCTGCACTACGATTAAGTCAAAAGAGATTTAAGACGAAGACAATTAGACAAATGATGAGACTGATGTGAGTGAATTAGCATGT